CCCACTGGAGTTCTAGCACACTTCCGCCCCGCGACTGGCTCCCGGCTGCCTCCCCGACTTCCCAGCATGCTCCGCGCCGTCTCCCTGGCAACGGAGCCAACACTCGCGGCCAGAGGTGGTCCTGGCGCTGGGGGTTTCCTGCGGGCCTGCCCACGTAGGTCCCAGTTCCGGGCGGCACCCAGGGGAGACCCAGGCGCTGCCTCTCCTCCGCCCGACCCGGAAAGGTATGCGAAAGGTGATGGTTCCAGGCTGCCCGGTCGGGGTCCGCATCCTTGGACTTCCACGCCTTCCACCTCCTCACTTCCCCCGACTGCACACCTCCCGGATCTGCTCCAGTCTCCTGAGAATAAGTGTTAGTGCCCCCTCGATATATGTGAACCCCCCTGCGAAAACGTAAATTTAAGAAAAGTTGAGGCAGTTGTGTTAGTTTTACTCTAAGGTTAGGTGTACCTTTACAGTTCGATTCCTCCTTTAGCAGAATCCGGTGTCCAATCTGCTTTCTCTCATTTATCATTACCGGGAAGAGAACAACTTGGCTTCAACTCGTGATAAACAATTCTCTTGTCTTTTGTCCGCGGCCAGATCAGCTTCACTGCCAAGAGTCAGTCTGCACAGAGTGGTAATCTTTCACCTTTCTCACAGTTCCCATCCAACTTTGTAAATTTTCTCTCCTCCCCCTAAACACTCCTACCCCCACAGCTATTGTTCTGCTGGACACTTATTTGCCCTCACAAAGTTTATTGAACACCTACTATATGCCAGGCACCCAGGATACGAAGGTAAAGAAGGTGTGTTCCAGGCTATCAAGTTCATCCACAACCATTTTTTTTTAACCTCTCAACCCTCTTTTTTAAATCTTTTTTGTTGAGATTATTACAGACGTTCTTCTTCCCCTCCGCCCTCCATTGCTCCCTTCCACCCAGTTCCCGCCTCTCCCCAGGTCTTCACCACGCTATTGTCCATAGGTAATGCATACATGCATGTAAGATCTTTATTTAATCTCTTCCCGCCTCTCCACCCCCCCTTCCTTCTGAGAATCATCAGTCTGTTCCATTTCCATGCCCCCGATTCTATTTTATTCACCAGTTTATTCTGTTCATTAGATTTCTTATTCGTTTATTTTGATTTTTAGATTCAATTGTTAATAGGTATGTATTTGTTGCCATTTTGTTGTTCATATTTTTCATCTTTTTCTTTTTCTTCCTCTTCTTAAAGAATACCCTTCAACATTTCATATAATACTGGTTTGGTGGTGGTGAACTCTAGCTTTTTCTTGTCTATGAACCTCTTTATCTGACCTTCAATTCTAAATGATAGCTTTGCTGGGTAGGGTAATCTTGGTTATAAATCCTTGCTATTCATCACTTTGAATATTTCTTGCCACTCCCTTCAGGCCTGCAAAGTTTCTGTTGAGAAATCAGCTGGCAGTCGTATGGGCATTCCCTTGTAGGTAACTGATTTTCTCTTGCTGATTTTAAGATTCTCTCTGTCTTTTGCCCTTGGAATTTTAATTATGATGTGTCTTGGTGTGGTCCTCTTTGGGTTCCTCCTGTTTGGGACTCTGTACTTCCTGGACTTGTAAGTCTATTTATTTCTGCATCTGACTCGCTTCACCTGTGCACCCGTAGGGAAAGTTTTCTGTGATTATTTCTTCAAATAGATTTTCAATATCTTGCTCTCTCTCTTCTTCTGGCACCCCCATAATGCAAATGTTGGTACACTTGAAGTTGTCCCAGAGGCTTCTTACATTGTCTTCATATTTTTGGATTCTTTTTTTTTTTCTCTTCTGGGTGTTTTTGCTTCCTCATATTTTCAAATCGTTGATTTGATTCTCAGAATCCTCTACTCTATTGTTGAATCCCTGTATATTATTATTTATTTCAGTCAGTGTATGCTTAATTTCTGACTGGTCCTTTTCTATTTTTTTTTTTGGAGGTTTCTAGAAGATTCTTGAGTAACCTTATAACCGTGGTTTTGAACTCTGTATCCAGTAGGTTGCTTGCTTCCATTTCTTTCATTTGTGACATGTTTCTTTGTCTCCACATTTTGGCTGCTTTCCTGTGTGTGTTTCTATGTATTGGGTAGAGCTGCTATGTCTCCTGGAGTTGGTAGAATGGCCTTGTGTAGTAAGTGTCCTATAGGGCCCAGTGGCTCAGTCTCCCCAGTCACCTGAGCTGGGAGCTCTAGGTGCACCCCTTTGTGGGCTGTGAGCACAGTCTTGTAGTTGAGACTTGATTGCTGTTGGTGTCACTGGGAGGAATTGACCTCCAGGCCAATTGTCTGTGAGGACCAGCTGCAACTACAGTGGGAGAGCTGCTGTGCAGAAGACACCCCTATGGAGCAGGACTTGCTTCAGTGGGACTTTGGTGCTCTGAATCTGCCCCTTGAGTGTGTCGCTTATGGGTGTGTAGAGTTGTAATGTGGTATGGTCTCACACTGACCACTGGGTACACTGGCTCTTGGGTCTCCAGGGAGGTGCAAAGTCAGCCCCTGCCTGGGGCCACTCATCAAGAGCTACAGAGAGGTCTGCAGACTCATCCTCTTTGTATCAGGTTTGGAAGTGCCCAGACAAGGCCCAGCTATGGAGTAAGGAAGGCTGGTGCTGGTGCCGGGTCTTGGACCTTTTATTAATAGGTTTGTGGCTCTTTGACCCAGCTGCAGCTTGTCTGAGGTTTTAGCCTGAGCGAGGACACAGCTTTGATGGGGTTGTAAATTGGATGAGGCGGAGACTTAGGGAATCACCAGGGTGGAGCAAACAGAAATGGCTGCCAGTCAGCCCTGTGACCTGTCCCAGCACAGGAACAATGATCCCTGCAAGCACCTCTGTCCAGGAGAAAGCCACCCCCAAGTTCCTGTCCTGATGCCAGACAGTCCAGTTTCTCCTCGTATGTGTCTATGTCCCCCAGAGCCTCGCCCTGGTGCTGGAGCTCAGAGGAAGCCCGACCTTGTAAGTTCAGTTTGTGGTGCTGGCCTTTTAAGAGAAACAGCTGGGTCTCCAGCAACCTCTGTGTCAGTGAGCCCCCGTGAGCACTGGTTCTTACAGCCCGTAGTTCTTACTGCCCATAGGGACTTCTCTTACCAGCTCTGGAACCCTGGGCTGGGGGCTGGTGTGGGGCTGGGACCCCTTGCCCCTTTGGGCGGCCTCCGCAGAGGCAGTCTCCCTCCAGATTAGAAAAGCGGCTCACTTGGGTGCCGGCCCAGCCCGTTCCGCGCCTCTGCACCTCCTACCAGTCTCAATGTGCTTTCTTCTTTACTTCTCTACTTACAGGACTTCCATTCAGCCAGCTTTCCAGCGGTTCTGGATGATGGTGGTTCTGTATTTTAGTTGTAATTTTGATGTGGTTGTGGGAGGAGGCGAGTGCTGGCATTTGCCTACCCTGCCATCTTCTTATCCACAACTTTTTGAGGTGGGGGCCAGGGTACCTTGACAAGTGAACAGGCGGTTCTAGAATCGGGACCGTGTGGTACATTCTCAAGCAACCAAGTAGCTCTGTGGTTGCATGGAGGACACTCATGTAATGGATGGCCTAATGGTGGCCTGGGAAGGGAGCAGCAGGGCCGAGTCTGTGAGTTTGGGCCAGAGGGAACCTAGTCCCAAAGTACGCTGTGGCCTGAGCCAGGCTGTTCAGACACTGCTGGGTTTAAAGGTGTTAGGTCCGAGCCCACAGGAGCCAGGCCAAGGGATGTTGTGAGAGTTTAGGACATTCTATGACATTCTCTCACAGCGGGCTGAGACCAGTGTGTCTGTGTCAGCGCGGAGGGCGTGTTTATGTTCTCTGACATAGGGCCTGGGGCAGGGTTGCATCAGCCAGCTGGGGTAGCTGCCTGAACAACAGGATGCCCTTGAAAGATGGCAGGATGTCTGGTGGGTGCACAACTCGGCCAGGTAGAGGGACGCGCCCGGGTGGGTTGGGTGGTGTACCTTATCTTGCTTCTGCAGGGGTAGGCCATTGGCTTCAAGCTATGGGAAAAACTTATAACACTATCGTTCAGAAAACATGTCCAAACAGGAGAGGTCAGGGGGAGTACACCCCAACAGAATGCTCATTTACAATTAGGAGCTGCTGGGAAAACGGACTTCTCAGAACCGTTCTGTCCATTGCTAAACATGAGGCTTCTATCTCATCTTTCTAGGAAGGAGAATTGCTGAGTGGTCCTAAGGGTCCTTTTCAGTTGAAAAGCTGTGCGTCTGTACATTATTTTAATGGCTTAATTTGACCAGAAAGCCTTTTGTGCCAGCAGAGGAAGCAAATAAAAGATGCATTTGGAG